CAAGAAAGACAAAATTTGTTCCTTAAGCCCCTCAACCTACCTATATCTTTTGATTGGGGAGCTGAGTTTATTAATATTTAAAGTTATTATTATTGATGACCTTTTGGCCCTTGTGTTCTTAATCCTATTTTGTTTCAATAGTTATAATTTTATTTGTTTTCTTTCTACAGTCTCCTGGCTATGTTTATTGAACTCTTTAGTGAAGTAGAGTTTCTAATACCTTTTGTAAGGCTTGTTGGGTGGATATGAATTCTACTAGTGTGTTTGCATCATAAGGAGCATTTCTTTCTCTTTCTACTGTGGCACACAGTTATTCTGTGTGCAGTGGTCTAGATAGGCACACATCATCTTTAAGATTTTGAAGTACGTTGCTCCTAGGTCTTGGGCTTTTAGAGTCTCCATTGAGAAATCTGATGGAGTTTCTTTCTGTGTTACTTGTTGGCATTGTCTTTTATATTTCAAAACTCTTTCTTTGTTCCATATATTTAGTATTTTAGGCATAATATGCTGTGAGGAGTTACTTTTCCAGTCCTATCCATTACCAATGGTGTTCTGTGTGTTTCTTATATATCAATGAGAATGTGTTTCTGTAAGTAGCAATGTTTTCTTGTTGAAATTTATGTCTATATTCTACTTCACCCTTACCATGACTCATGGTGTTTTCATGGTGTTTAATAGTTCCTGAATGTTCCTTTTATTTGTTTGTTTTAAAATTTTCATATTCTTTGCTTCAATGTTCCAATTCCTCTGTTTCATCTTCAAGTCCCGATATTCTACCTTCTACTTGATCCATATACTTATAAGGCTTTCTCTGAGGTTTATAAATGTGATACTGAATTTTTCAACTTCATCTTCATCTCAACTTTAGTTCTTTTCACTATGTTTACCTCTTTACTGAACTCAGTTTGCTAAAGTGCAATTGTTTTGCTATTTCATCCAGATGTATTTTCTTGGTCATCACTTTGTCTGTTTATCTTCCATTCATCCTCTTTTTATGAAGGATGCTGATTAATTCAGTTATCAGTTTTGACACTTTGATGTCCATGGATTTGTTTTAAAATAGTATAAAGTGTATAACACAAGCCCAGCACCTCCATATCAAACTCCAAGTATAATATATACTTTCTATGTACTTTAAGAGCTTGAGACACATGTTCTATACCTCTTCAGTGTTTTCTATCTTACTCAAATATCTTATGTGATATAAATCACAATATAATTTCTTTTTCTTTCACTAATCAGTTTCTATAAACCATAATTTATTTTACTCATCTAGATTGTCAAAAGGCTCTCTTGTCATTAATTGAATGCACATTTCTATATGCTGGTATTTATTTTTGAGAAAAGTCCTTTACTACTATGGCTTACTGTGTTGGTCAACTATATGGTCTTTGAGGAAAGAAAGGCTTCAAATAACAGGTCTCTGAGATGCAATTTCAAGTACCATGTCTCTTTCTAAATTAAAGCAGGGATTGGAAGTCCTGGTCAGGCCAGGACTTTAATTTCAAGGTAAGTGTGATATAGAAGTCACTAGAAACTCAGCAAACTAAAGTTCTTTGCAAAGGACCTGTTTTCCAGCAGTGATGCCAAAGGCAGCTTGTCCCTGGAGTCCTAGTCACACAAGTTACACAGCAATCAAATGACATCAATGCATATGGTGTCAATGCACACAAGCCTTCTGCCCTGGTAACAGAGTGCAGAACAAGAGCTATGGCACTGACCAGAGGACAAATGACTGTCCAGTCCCCAGCCAGCAGACTTTCCAGTGAAACTTTGTGAAGAGGGTAGTGTCCACCACCCTCTGCTGATGTCAATGAATTGTAGAGAACTTATAGAAACATTGTTTATCATCTTATCAAAAAACCCATGGTAATAGCATAGCATGTCTGTGGACATGACATCAATGATTTTGTTTTATCTTATATACTGTTTTCATTAAACTTCTTTCATGATATATATTTTGATTTTCATTTTTAAAAGAAGTAAATACTCTTTTAGAGGATTTTAGAGATAACTAATGTCTGTGACTGTGTTTATTATACCTTCATTTGGAGGAAGATATTTTCACTGCATAAATTGTGTTCTAGAGGGACAATTTTCACTTTATATTTTAAAAGCATGTTGTTCTACTGTCTTAGTGCCTTTTTTTGAAATTTCTCAACTTCAGTTGAGAATTCTGCTCTAGTAATTTAGGGTCCAGTTTCCTTTCACTACTTACTGTTATCAGTGCAATTTAATATTTGATACTGTCATTTATCTTTAAGTTCAGTTTGTTGTGTTATTTGCACATGTTAATTTTTTTTTTATTTTTATTTTTAGCAAATGCGGAACTTTTTAAATTATTGATTCTTCAAATACTGTATTTCACTCCTGGTCCCTGACAGTGTCTTCTCAGTAGTGAACAGAGAAAGAAAGAGACAGATAGACATGGACATACACACACACACACACACACACACACACACACACACACAGCGAGAGAGAGAGAGAGAGAGAGGGAGAGAGAGAGAGAGAGAGAGAGAGAGAGAGAGAGAAGTAAAATTCCACACAAAGTTGGAAAACTCAATGATGTCCTGAAAATATTTTGAACTTTTTCTTTATTTTTATTGGAGGATGAATGCTGTGAATCCAACACAGGACCTAAATATATTCCAGCAGTCTGGTATTCCACCACTGAACTATATCCATGATATATGTGCATGCTTTGTCTTTAATAGTATCTGCTGTTGTGTCTCGGTGCCATTGATCTTTAATTTTACAATATCTAATCTTTAGCCAATCACTCAGTGTAGTTTTGTTCATAACTATAGAAACCGTATTTCTCACTTTTGTAATATCAATCATGTACACTTCAATGTTTATAATTTCTCCATTTTTTAAAAATAAAGAATGTTATTACTTTTCCTGCTTTTTAAACTTCCGTTGCTTTTTTCATTGTACTTAGTCTTGTATTACATAAGGACATGTTCAGAGAAGCACATTATGTACATTGAGTATACTACCATCCATAATGCCTAACTTTGTTCTTGAATATGGTGTTTCTATACACTTTGTATCCATCCTAATGGATACTAGTAGGAAAGGTCAGGCTGGACATTTCATAGCAGGGCAAGCAGGATCAGATCTGATCATGACTTGTTATCTTGCCCTCATGAGAGCAGAGGAAAGTATATGGGAAAGATAATATTTTGAAATAAAAATCCATGGAATTATTATTCAAAGACAACATTCTGGAAACAGAATTGATGGGGAGAAGCAAGTTTATTATTTTTTATTAAGAAATTTTTTATTCATTTTACATATCAATTACAGATCCCCTCTTTCCTCTTTCTTCCCTTCCAACCTCCCCCCACCCAACCCTCTCACCATTCCCTCGTACAAGAAAGTAAGGCTGCCTATGGGGAGTCAGCAAAGTGTGGTACATTCAGTAGAAGTATGTCCAAGCCCCTCCCCCTGCCTCAAGGCTGTGAGAGGTGTCCTACTGCAAGTAATGTGCTCCAAAGAGCCAGTTCATGTACCAGGGATAGATCCTGATCCTACTGCCAGGGGGCCCCTTAAGCAGATCATGCTATACAACTATCTCACTTTTGCAGAGGGCCTAGTCCAGTCATGTGGATGCTCCACAGGTGTTGGTCTAAATTTCATGAGTTCCCACTAGTTTGGTTTGGTTGTCTCTTGTAGGTTTCCCCGTCATGATCTTGATGCCCCTTGTTCATAGAATCTCTCTTCCCTCTCTTCAACTGGACTCCTGGAGCTTGGCCTGGTGTTTGGCTTTGGATCTCTGCATCTGCTTCCATCAGTTACTAGATGAAGGATCTATGATGACAGTTAGGGTATTCAACTATCTGCTTACTGGGGTAAGCCTGTTCAGGCACCCTCTCCACTATTGCTAGTAGTCTAAGCTGAGAACACAGGAGAATTGGATGGTTGGACTGGAACAGGCATGGAGTAGGAGAACAATGAAAGAGATACCATGATAGAGGGAGACTTTATGAGGCTAGGGAGAAATTGGGTGCTAGGGAAGTTCCCAAGGATGATACCAATTAGACTACTAGCAAGTTTATTCTTAGGTCTACAACAAAAGTAATGTTGGAGAAGCTCTTTTATCTCATGCATTACAGCGTTTTTAGAAATTTATATATAAATCTATATATATGTAAATATATAAATCTAATTATATATAATATATGATATAAATATATACATATATTATATATAATTAGAAAGACAGAAAATAAGATCCATGGGCTGTGGACACTGAGGAAGTGTGCTGGGCAGTATCTTTGTTGTCCAAGACCTCTATCTACAATTCTATTCTCAACTGGAAGGTGCAATGGTCCTTGACTTCCTGGTTCAAGTTCTTGAAAGTCCTGACACAAACACATTACTTTTCTTCAAGCTAAACCTCATAGCAATGTATGCTCCGTGTCAGTAAAAATGCATGTCATGGTTTCTCATATGTGGGCTCCTGGAGGAATATGTAATGACAGAGGGGCAGGTAGGGAAGAGGGAAGCAATTCTTCCTTTTTGACCTGTCTTCTCAGCTCTTTCTTTACATTTGTTAGGCTGTGAGAAGATTCCTTATAATTCACAAGTGCCCTGATAAATTTTTTTCAGGGGAGATCTAGACAAGAAGAGAAATGATGAATGTGAACATAACCAAAGCCGATGTCAAAAATTGAAGAAAATATTTAATATAACAAAGTGCACAGATTTGCACAATGGATATATTCCAAAAACCTGTAAAAAATGAGGAATAAAATCCTTTCTCTGATGGAATCTGAAGGTCACCACATATTCTGCCTGGTAGAGACTAAGGAAAAATACTTAGCAGTTGACATCTTAGTCATGTAGGCTCTGGAATGCTACATCAGAAAACAAAGTTTGTGGCCAAGGGCAGGGAAGCAACTCTGCAGGTTAAACTAGGAAACAGGTTGCCACTGTCACAGGAGAGAAGGGGTTTGTGTCTTACTTCCTCATCTGCCTGTGTTATTGTGAGCATCATCAGTGCTATCCCAACACTGACAGTAATAGTCAGCTTCATCTCCAGCCTGGGCTTTGCTGATGGTCAAGGTGGCTGTGTTCCCTGAGTTGGAGCCAGAGAATTGGTCTGGGATGCCAGAGGGACGCTTATTATCATTATATATGACCAGCACAGGGGCCTGGCCTGGCTTCTGCTGGTACCAGTGAACACTCTTGCCTGAGATTTTATCTCCAGAGCAGGTGATTGTGGCCTTTTGACCTAGGGCCACTGATACTGAGGGAGGTTGAGTCAGTATATAGGAGGCCACGGAATCTGCAAAAGAAAAGAGAAGGATGCTGAGGATACCGAACAATGCTCTTTCCAGAGCCAAGTAAACACTCCATCAGAACAGGACTCAGGATTCAGGGCTAGACAATGTCTGTAGGCTGAAACATCAGACTGAGTCTGCGTAGGTCACCTGTGCAGAGGGAGAGGAAGGGGAGCAGGAGGAACAGCCAGGCCATGGTGGAGATGCCTCAGAGCAAAGGATCCTGGAAGTCACAGCACAACCAGGCTAATCAGGCTTTTATTCTCTTTCAGTCCTTTTGAGGGTAGTGGATGTTCTGTGGCTATGCAAATTTACCCCTCTCTGGGGCTCCCCATGGAGGCTTATGTGTAGAAAATACTTCAAAGCTGTGATGCAGAAACCAACTTGGAGAGGTGGAGCCCTACTCATTCAAGAGTCTCTTGGCTCAGAAAACCATCCAAGCCTCTGTGGTCTCTGACCACAGTAACCCTGCAGGAATTTACCCATGATAGTGTCTGAACTGCTGAGCTGTTTTAGCAAGGCTATGCACCTTCTATTATCTTGTCCATGGTGTGCACGTGGTACCGTTAAGGGACCACTACTGACCTGTGACTCAGCAGAAGGTGTAGTGTGACCTGTCACCTTCATTTTCCTTCCTCTCTCTTGGTCATCAAGCTATATTTCTGGCTCATTCTGATCATCCCAATACAATGTAGCCCTGTGCTATGAGAATTGTTGTCAAGTACATCTGTGTAATACTGGTTTGTTATACAATCAGTTGTTTTTTGTGTAGTCATCAGTCCAGGGTTATTTCTTATGTTGAGTCTCTTTCCTGTCTGACCCCATTCTCTTAGAAGAGATTAGCATCTGGCTTCAGGAATTAAACTAAAAATCCTACATCAGTGACTTTGAAGACCTTGTTAAAATACCCTGAAACAAGACCTTCTGAGAAACACACTTTAGCACGTGTGTGTGTCAGAGACATAGGATCAAGGCTGCACTAAGTTGAGCTCCAGAAGGTGGTTGGTGAGAGTTCCCATCAGGAAGAATGCGGACACTGAGCCAATGGAGATGTGCTCTGAGTCAGGTTAGTGTTCAGTTCATTCAAGTATTTCCAAAGAACACTGAATTCTTCCTGGAGGGACAGAACACAGGTTGCCACCTTCCCTACTTTAGGCTGTACAGGAGCCCAGGTGCTTCAGCCTAATGGAAAATCTGCCTATGGTTAGAGGAGTGTGCCTCTCTGGAAGTACTCAAGAGAGAGGTAAATAATAGGTGATGGCTTTGCAGCCATGACAACTGTTAATCACATGCAAGAGAACATGATCCTGAGTGCAAGACACCGGTCCTGGTGGCCAGTTCTCCCACAGTGAACTTCCTGCTGGACTCAGAATGCTTTTGCTGATGTATGTTAGCCATAACAGAGCTACCAAGGCTCATGCCTGGTATCCTACAATGCCTAAGCATTTCCTGAGTGAGTCCCTCATTACGCATGGGTACTGCCTCTGTCCTGAATGACATTGTTATGTGATTCTCAGAATGTCATAACTGACAGTAAAAAACTGTCCCTTGACACTTTCAGATTTCTCAGCCTAGCATCACAGGCTCAACTTCCCCTGCATAGCCCCATTCTCAGGCTTGGCTGCTCTTGGATGCTACCCCACCACCCTCTGCTGGTGGAAGAGTATAAGAACATGAACTTCCTTCACTTTTTAACTGGCCCCAAAGTCCTTTTCACCTGAAAAAGTGCAGTGCAGGGAGTTGAGCCTTTCTCTGTGTTTCCTTCACACACGCCTACATCCTGTGGCTAGCAGAGAGAACTGGTAACCTTGATATGTGAGAAAGCAGATAGGATCTGTTCCTATAACTAACCTAGTGGTGAAATTCATCCTTCTCTAATATGTGCGTGTATGTATACATACGTTTGTATGCGTGTATTTGTATCGCAAATAAGGGTCACATAACAGTGTAACTTCAGGACACAAGCGGAAACCTGGGCTGAGTGAGGAGGGCTAACCCAGGAAATTCTCAGGCATAGTACAGAAGTACAATATATATATATATATATATATATATATAAATATATATATATATATATATATTTATAAATTTATAAGAAATTTTTAAAAATAAATAAATGAGCTCTGCATTTGCATCTCTCTTTCTCTCCCAGATAGTTCTTCCCACATCCCCTTTTCCAAACTCTTGATTACTACTTTATTATTGTTACATGTATAAACATTTGTACACTTATTTGTGTACGTGTACACATAAGTATGTATAGATAGATAACCTCTTGAATTAATTTAACTGTACTCATATGCCAGGCATTAATGCTTATTTTGAGTATCACAGTTTTTCTTTCATTTTTTTTTTTTCAGGCAGGGTTTCCCTGTGTGCCCTGGCTGACCTGGAATTTTCTCTGTAAACCAGGCTGGTCTCGAACTCAGAGATTCACCTACCTCTGCCTCCCAAGTGCTGGGATTGAAGGCATGTGCCAGTGCAGTCATTAGCTGTAGATATCTATAATAGTCAATTCTCCATTCTGAATGCTGTAATAGGAGGCATAAAATGCCATGCCATGTTTATCACATTATATTAATTGTTTAATATTTTCTGTTCAAACAATGGAAATAGTGGGTAAAATTAAGTCATTTTCAAGCAACAGAGAGGTCTGAAAAAGTGTTGATAGCATCTTTAATACACTGTCTATTTATGTGTTTAAGAAGCAAGAAAACACTACCCTACTCAGCAAGAGTAGCGGGCTTGTTAGAGGTTAAATCTGGTGTTTGAGTCACCAATACTCAGGCTTTGCTGATGGCACAATCATTTTTATCATCCATTATCACCATTTTTATTGCTGTTGTTATTTGATCATATGTCTTTCCTATCTCCTGCTACAGGATTTCAAATCTAGCCTGGACCTCAATGTGATGAAACTGGAGAAGCCTGTTCCTTCAGAACTGGAGGTGCTGGTCCCCAGTGCATAGACACACTCACTACTGAGTCTCTCTCCTCATGTTTCCATGGGAAAAGGCAGGAGGTTCTAAGAGCAGAGGGAGCAATCAAGACTCCACCAGCTTTGTCTAAAATAAATAGACTACTTAATTCCTTTATGTAATGTATTTTCCAAAATTAATTTTCCTAGGAGCAGTATAACCCTCTTTGTGTTACAATAGGTGATGATGAAAATTTGAGTTTTTCACAAAAATGAGGAAAGGGTGGTTCATTGTAAGAATGGACATAGATAGGTTGGATTCAAGTCTGAGGTTTCTAAGACTCAGCATGACCAGGGTGAGTGCTTTGTAACTCATCACCATCCACATCATGGCCCTCGCCATCACCAGGATAACAGTTCAGCATTCAGATAATGGTGTCCTTGTATACGGTCCCATGTGGAACCTGGATCACCAGTGAAGGAAACAAAGTTGAGCAGTGTTATCCATGAGCCTGATGCTTCTCTGGGCCTTGTTTCTGCACCCTCTTTCCTGAGCAGCAGAGGATGTGTCACACAATCACCTCTGCAGTACAAAGTGAGTTTTAAGGAGATGGCAGGTTGGAAGGTTCAGGATACTGGAGGGATCATTGTCAGGGTCCCACCCAAGCAACAACATCAACTGCAATAATCTCAAAGCAAATTCCAGCCTTATAGTCTTGCAATCACTGTGCAGGTGGCAAAGCCTTAGAAGGTCTTCTATAAGTGAGCAAAAGTAAGAGGTAACTGTGAGGGTGCAGACCATGCTGGACACACCCCAGTTTGTGTCCACAGCTGGGTGCTCCTCCCTGTTCTTTGTCATCCATCCATCAATGCATGGCCCTGACATTAGTTAACTATTCTGAAGTGGGTAGAGCTATATTTGACTCCACAGATGCCAAGGGGTTCCAACCTAGAGAACAGTGGTCAAGGTGTTGCTTATTTCAAACTCATTCCCAATATCCCATGCTCCCTCCAAAGGAGAGAGAGGCCCCTGTCATTCTTACTCCTCTCTCACAGTATCTTGTTAAATATAATATTTCTATGTTTCATATCTTGAAGATTCTGGTATTCAATGCAATGAATCTTCAATAGGCAGGGCATCGTTATGACATATTTATTTACAATAAACTTATTTTGTAGTAAATCTAAAAATATAGTTCTTGCATGAAGAAAAAATCATGCAAGATTTTTTTGGAAAAATCCAAAAATTGATTTTTCAATTGCTGTGTTGAGTCTCTTCACTAACGATTGCCTTGACAGTTCTATGAAATGTAGATCCTTCAACAAGCTGTGCAAACAGAAGAAGGAATGAATCAATGGCTCAAAACAATTCATCATTGTTATAACTGGTATTTAAATATTCATTTCTCTCACTCATCTACAAATTCCTGTAACAAATAGGAGGTGTCAGTAACAACTGGTAGACTTGTGGGAAGACTGGGCATATGAAGTCAGGTGTGTCCAGGAGGAGCTTCCTACATGACTTCAGGGTTCCTCATCTAATGCTTGGTACTTCTAGATCCTCCTGGGAGAACTGATTGACTATCTCAAAAGAATGTAAAAGGGTCTCCTGGGACTTAAGGTCAATAGATTGTCACCAGAGTACCCTTAGTTATTCCTGGCGGCCTCTTTCATTCTTTTCTTCTATCCCTTCTTTAACCATCGGTGACATGACAGGCCCACAGAACCTTCATCTACCAGGGACACACAGATATCACATTAGGCTGGAAGTCAGGGAGGGGAGCGATACCCTCTTTCCCATCCTTTATTCCACTCTCTCAAGACTTACTCTTAGTCTCACTAGAGCCTGCCCATGTGAGCCCCTCTCCTGGACCTCCTCAATCCGTATGAGACTCAGCCTACTAGTGTGGATCCAGAGTTCCCTAGCTATATCCAGGTGCCTGTCTCAGTCTATTTTTCTAGTTCATTTGTGTTCTTGTTAATTTCTGCTGAGCTCAAGAATAACTCTCCTCCCTGCACCAAAAAGCCAGGAGGAGAGTTATTCTTGAGCTCAACAGAAATTAACAAAGATACAAATGAACTAGAAAAATAGACTGGGGTGGATTGTGGGGGAAGGTTGGGGAGTGGGATGAGGGAGGACAGGGGAATCCATGGCTGATATATTAAACAACTAGACAATTTCTTATATAAAATAAAAAAAAGAATAACTCTCTATCAGGGAACCCTAATCCAACACATTAGGCTGGGAACCAGGGGTCCTACAGCTGCCACACTTGCCCAGGACTTAAGAGTAGGCAATAGCAACAAAAAACAGAATACCCAC